CTGGAATACATCAGGATTAATAATTGATTAAAGAACATTTAAAGGACCTTCCCGTTTCAGGGTGAAGCCATGAAGTCACAAAAGGATTCAAATGTCCCATTCTTGGGACCATAGTAAGAGATTGGGGTTGTTTTCCCCAATTGAATCACTTTCCAAATTAAATAACTGAGCTTAGAAAATCAGATTGAGACAATCAATGAATCAATCAACCAATCAGGCAATCAATCAATCAATCAATCAATCAATCATGTGCTAGGCAAAATCCAACCTCATTGTCTCAGCATTCCTATCTCCCCATTCAGGCAATTGGCTGGCTGTTCTTCCTAGGCAGCTGCACAGAGTTTGAAGTCAAATTACCCGCGATCCCCTGCAATTTAGCAAAAAACCCTCACCCCCGGTTCACATCTATGTGGCCGTGAGGGCCGAGTTTTCCACAGGCACGAGAGCCCTTTCATTTGAATGGACTCCCGTGCCCGTGACACGCAGGGAAGAAGTCCCAGCACTTCTTTTGAAACGCAGCCGAGGTTCCCAGTACGGTTGCCTTTTCCAGTGTGGGTGGCGTGCCATTAGAACTAATATCACCCGCGGGTCCGCAATTCTCTGTGCAGGTGGTGCAGATTTTCGTGCAGATCTGCAGAGGCACCAACCGCACAGATGTGAACCTGGGGTTTAGAGTCGGTTCATACCATTGAAACACAGTCCAGATGCATTTCTGCATACGCGTTTTTGACGTGTTCCGGTGCATTTTTGATGTGTTCCAGTTTATTTTTCCCCCCTCCTCTTTTTCTTGTGCATTACAGTGCCTTTTTGATGTTTTTACCGTGTTCCAGTACAGTTCTGTGCTGGAAAAATTCAGCCTCATCTACATTTTTTTTCCTCAACTGGAACGCACTTTGGTGTCAATGGGAGGAATAGTACCCCATCATTGGTGTCAGTGGGAGGAATAGTGCTCCATCATTGGTGTCAGTGGGAGGAATAGTGCCCCATCATTGGTGTCAGTGGGAGGAATAGTGCCCCATCATTGGTATCAGTGGGAGGAATAGTTCCCATCATTGGTATCAGTGGGAGGAATAGTGCCCCATCATTGGTATCAGTGGGAGGAATAGTGCCCCATCATTGGTATCAGTGGGAGGAATAGTGCCCATCATTGGTATCAGTGGGAGGAATAGTGCCCCATCATTGGTATCAGTGGGAGGAAATAGTGCCCCATCATTGGTGTCAGTGGGAGAATAGTGCCCCATCATTGGTGTCAGTGGGAGGAATAGTGCCCATCATTGGTATCAGTGGGAGGAAATAGTGCCCCATCATTGGTGTCAGTGGAGGAATAGTGCCCCATCACTGGTATCAGTGGGAGGAATAGTGCCCCATCATTGGTGTCAGTGGGAGGAATAGTGCCCCATCATTGGTATCAGTGGGAGAAATAGTGCCCCATCATTGGTGTCAGTGGGAGGAATAGTGCCCCATCATTGGTATCAGTGGGAGGAATAGTGCCCCATCATTGGTATCAGTGGGAGGAATAGTGCCCCATCACTGGTATCAGTGGGAGGAATAGTGCCCCATCATTGGTATCAGTGGGAGGAATAGTGCCCCATCATTGGTATCAGTGGGAGGAATAGTGCTCCATCATTGGTATCAGTGGGAGGAATAGTGCCCCATCATTGGTATCAGTGGGAGAAATAGTGCCCCATCATTGGTATCAGTGGGAGAAATAGTGCCCCATCATTGGTGTCAGTGGGAGGAATAGTGCCCATCATTGGTATCAGTGGGAGAAATAGTGCCCCATCATTGGTGTCAGTGGGAGGAATAGTGCCCAAAATCATTGGTGTCAGTGGGAGGAATAGTGCCCCATCATTGGTATCAGTGGGAGGAATAGTGCCCCATCATTGTTGTCAGTGGGAGGAATAGTGCCCCATCATTGGTGTCAGTGGAGGAATAGTGCCCCAAGATTGGTGTCAGTGGGAGGAATAGTGCCCATCATTGGTATCAGTGGGAGGATAGTGTCCCATCATTGGTATCAGTGGGAGGAATAGTGCCCATCATTGGTGTCAGTGGGAGGAAAAGTGCCCATCATTGGTATCAGTGGGAGGAATAGTGCCCATCATTGGTATCTGTGGGAGAAATAGTGCCCCATCATTGTGTCAGTGGGAGGAATAGTGCCCCATCATTGGTATCAGTGGAAGGAATAGTGCCCCATCATTGGTGTCAGTGGGAGGAATAGTGCCCCATCATTCGTATTAGTGGGAGGAATAGTATCCGATCCTTGGTGTCAGTGGAGGAATAGTGCCCCATCATTTGTATCAGTGGGAGGAATAGTGCCCCATCATTGGTGTCAGTGGGAGGAATAGTGCCCCATCATTGGTGTCAGTGGAGGAATAGTGTCGCATCTTTGGTATCAGTGGGAGGAATAGTGCCCCATCTTTTGTATCAGTGGGAGGAATAGTGCACCATCATTGGTGTCAGTGGAGGAATAGTGCCCCATCATTGGTATCAGTGGGAGGAATAGTGCCCCATCATTGGTATCAGTGGGAGGAATAGTGTCCCATCATTGGTATCAGGGGGAGGAATAGTGCCCCATCATTGGTGTCAATAGAAGGAATAGTGCCCCATCATTGGTGTCAATAGAAGGAATAGTGCCCCATCATTGGTGTCAGTGGTAGGAATAGTGCCCCATCATTGGTGTCAGTGGTAGGAATAGTGCCCCATCATTGGTGAGAGTAGTGGGAGGAATAGCGCCCCATTGTTGGTGTCAGTGGGAGGAATAGCGCCCCATTGTTGGTGTCATTGCAAGGAATGTCACCCCATTGTTGGTATTCAGTGGAGGATAATTGGCCCATCATTGGTGTCAGTGGGAAGCATTGTGCCTCAAGAGGCCGGATAAGGGCAAGCAAAGGGCCCCTACACATGATTTGGTGTATAAAGTGAACAAAGGTTCCCCGTATTTATCAACGTTCACTGTGCTAACTCAATGGCTTCTACTCTTTCAGTAAAATCTCCTCAATATTTAGTTTTCCTGAATGGCACAGTCAATTAAAAAAAAAAAAGATATATATATATTCTTATTACGTTTTTAGTGGCACATGACACCATAACAGTGATTGGTGTCAGCGCACAAACCCGGAACGTTCGGCTTACCATCTGTGTGAGGTCGCGGTGCAGCTCGCCCAGCAGCTCAGAGATTCTGGTGATATAATGATGAGAATTGTAGAAATTGACGGATGAGACTCGCATGACATCCGCAAAGACGACGCAGAGTCCGAGATACCCCGCTGCGAGCTGTGCGCGACGCTCCATTCCGGATCACAGACTCCAGGTCAAAGTGAGACGGCGCTCGTCACAAATCACACCTCTAATATATATCACAGCCAAAGGAAACTTTTTTTTTTTGTGGAAATAATTGAGAAGATAAAATGTACAAGTATCAACCTGATTCTGAGCGATGATTAGGCGACGGACGGATGGGGGAGGGGAGAGTCTGACATTTAATTCTTTGGGCTGACCATTCAGTGATGTACTTATTAATGCCAAAGGGTTTTTTTTTTTTTTTTCTTTTCTTTTTTTTTTTTTTTTTTTGCCTGATCTTTTCTTTTTTACCCTAGGTTCACATCTAAGCATTTTCTGCAGTGTTTTGCTTTTAAAATCTGCCTAGCAACAAGGAAAATTAAAAAATTAAATAAAATGTAAAAAAAAAAAAACACAAATTGCAGCAAAAACACGTCAAAAACGCAACGCAAAACGGAATGCAGAAACACTTCAAACGCAACCTTGCATAGGTGTGAACCTCGACTTCTTCCTAGTCTCCAGAACAACATACCCAGAGAGGGTGCTGGGAACTTTTAGGGCCGGTTCACACTATAGAAACCCAGATGCATTCCAGATGCGTTTTTGCAGGCGCGTTTTTGACTGTAATTTTGGCGAGTTCTGGTGCATTTTTTATGTGTTTCTGATGTGCTCCAGTGCGTTTTTGGGCATTCACTACCTTAAACTCAATCTTTCCAAAACTGAGCTTGTAATATTTCCTCCCCCCGATCCCCCACTCACGACTTTACCATTAAGATCAACAGCACAACCATTGGTCCTTCCCCTCATGTCAGGGTGCTAGGCGTAACCCTAGACTCTGACCTCTCCTTTGGGCCCCACATCCAATCAATGGCTAAATCCTGCCGTCTCAACCTCCGGAACATTTCCAAAATCCGCCCCTTCCTGACCAATGACACCACAAAACAACTTATCCACGCCTTGATTATATCCCGCCTCGATTACTGCAACTCCCTCCTCACTGGTCTCCCGTTCACAGGCTATCCCCCCTTCAGTCTATTATGAATGCTGCTGCCAGACTCATCCACCTTACCAACCGATCAGCGACTGCTGCCCCTCTCTGCCAATCCCTCCACTGACCTCCTCTCAGTGTCCTCCACCCCTCTCTGCCAATCCTTCCACCGGTCTCCATTCAGTGTCCTCCACCCCTCGCTGCCAATCCCCTCCACTGATCTCCATTCAGTGTCCCTCATCCCTCTCTGCCAATCCCTCCACCCCCACTCAGTGTCCTCCATCCCTCTCTGCCAATCCCACTCCACTGGTCTCCATTCAGTGTCCTCATCCCTCTCTGCCAATCCCTCCACTGGCCCCCACTCAGTGTCCTCCATCCCTCTCTGCCAATCCCTCCACTGACCTCCATTCAGTGTCCTCCACCCCTCTCTACCATCCCTCCACTGACCTCCTTTCAGTGTCCTCCCCTCTCTCTGCCAATCCCTCCACTGACCTCCTTTCAGTGTCCTCCACCCCTCTCTGCCAATCCCTCCACTGACCTCCTTTCAGTGTCCTCCTCCCCTCTCTACCAATCCCTTCACTGACCTCCATTCAGTGTCCTCCACCCCTCTCTGCCAATCCCACCACTGACCTCCTTTCAGTGTCCTCCACCCCTCTCTGCCAATCCCTCCACTGACCTCCTCTCATGTCCTCCATCCCCTTTCTGCCAATCCCTCCACTGACCTCCATTCAGTGTCCTCCACCCCTCTCTGCCAATCCCTCCACTGACCTCCATTCAGTGTCCTCCACCCCTCTCTGCCAATCCCTCCACTGACCTCCATTCAGTGTCCTCCACCCCTCTCTGCCAATCCACCACTTACCTCCATTCAGTGTCCTCCACCCCTCTCTGCCAATCCCTCCACTGGCCTCCACTCAGTGTCCTCCATCCCTCTCTGCCAATCCCTCCACTGACCTCCTTTCAGTGTCCTCCACCTCTCTGCCAATCCCTCCACTGACCTCCTCTCAGTGTCCTCCACCCCTCTCTGCCAATCCCTTCCACCGGTCTCCATTCAGTGTCCTCCACCCCTCGCTGCCAATCCCTCCACTGATCTCCATTCAGTGTCCCTCATCCCTCTCTGCCAATCCCTCCACTGGCCCCCACTCAGTGTCCTCCATCCCTCTCTGCCAATCCCTCCACTGGTCTCCATTCAGTGTCCCTCATCCCTCTCTGCCAATCCCTCCACTGGCCCCCACTCAGTGTCCTCCATCCCTCTCTGCCAATCCCTCCACTGACCTCCATTCAGTGTCCTCCACCCCTCTCTACCACTCCCTCCACTGACCTCCTTTCAGTGTCCTCCACCCTCTCTGCCAATCCCTCCACTGACCTCCTTTCAGTGTCCTCCACCCCTCTCTGCCAATCCCTCCACTGACCTCCTTTCAGTGTCCTCCACCCCTCTCTACCAATCCCTTCACTGACCTCCATTCAGTGTCCTCCACCCCTCTCTGCCAATCCCACCACTGACCTCCTTTTCAGTGTCCTCCACCCCTCTCTGCCAATCCCTCCACTGACCTCCTCTCAGTGTCCTCCATCCCTTTCTGCCAATCCCTCCACTGACCTCCATTCAGTGTCCTCCACCCCTCTCTGCCAATCCCTCCACTGACCTCCTTTCAGTGTCCTCCACCCCTCTCTGCCAATCCCACCACTTACCTCCATTCAGTGTCCTCCACCCCTCTCTGCCAATCCCTCCACTGGCCCCCATTCAGTGTCCTCCATCCCCTCTCTGCCAATCCCTCCACTGACCTCCTTTCAGTGTCCTCCACCCCTCTCTACCAATCCCTCCACTGACCTCCTTTCAGTGTCCTCCACCTCTCTCTGCCAATCCCTTCACTGACCTCCTCTCAGTGTCCTCCACCCCTCTCTGCCAATCCCTCCACTGACCTACATTCAGTGTCCTCCATCCCTCTCTGCCAATCCCTCCACTGACCTCCTTTCAGTGTCCTCCACCTCTCTCTGCCAATCCCTTCACTGACCTCCTCTCAGTGTCCTCCACCCCTCTCTGCCAATCCCTCCACTGACCTCCACATTCAGTGTCCTCCATCCCTCTCTGCCAATCCCTCCACTGACCTCCTTTCAGTGTCCTCCACCCCTCTCTACCAATCCCTCCACTGACCTCCATTCAGTGTCCTCCATCCCTCTCTGCCAATCCCTCCACTGGCCTCCACTCAGTGTCCTCCATCCCTCTCTGCCAATCCCTCCACTGACCTCCTTTCAGTGTCCTCCACCCCTCTCTACCAATCCCTCCACTGACCTCCTTTCAGTGTCCTCCACCCTCTCTCTGCCAATCCCTCCACTGACCTCCTTTCAGTGTCCTCCACCCCTCTCTGCCAATCCCTCCACTGACCTCCTTTCAGTGTCCTCCACCCCTCTCTACCAATCCCTCCACTGACCTCCATTCAGTGTCCTCCACCCTCTCTGCCAATCCCTCCACTGACCTCCATTCAGTGTCCTCCACCCCTCTCTGCCAATCCCTCCACTGACCTCCTCTCAGTGTCCTCCACCCCTTTCTGCCAATCCCTCCACTGACCTCCATTCAGTGTCCTCCACCCCTCTCTGCCAATCCCTCCACTGACCTCCTTTCAGTGTCCTCCACCCCTCTCTACCAATCCCTTCACTGACCTCCATTCAGTGTCCTCCATCCCTCTCTGCCAATCCCACCACTTACCTCCATTCAGTGTCCTCCACCCCTCTCTGCCAATCCCTCCACTGGCCCCCACTCAGTGTCCTCCATCCCTCTCTGCCAATCCCTCCACTGACCTCCATTCAGTGTCCTCCACCCCTCTCTACCAATCCCTCCACTGACCTCCTTTCAGTGTCCTCCATCTCTCTCTGCCAATCCCTTCACTGACCTCCTCTCAGTGTCCTCCACCCCTCTCTGCCAATCCCTCCACTGGTCTCCATTCAGTGTCCTCCATCCCTCTCTGCCAATCCCTCCACTGACCTCCTTTCAGTGTCCTCCACCTCTCTCTGCCAATCCCTTCACTGACCTCCTCTCAGTGTCCTCCACCCCTCTCTGCCAATCCCTCCACTGGTCTACATTCAGTGTCCTCCATCCCTCTCTGCCAATCCCTCCACTGACCTCCTTTCAGTGTCCTCCACCCCTCTCTACCAATCCCTTCACTGACCTCCATTCAGTGTCCTCCACCCCTCTCTGCCAATCCCACCACTGGCCTCCATTCAGTGTCCTCCATCCCTCTCCGCCAATCCCTCCACTGACCTCCTTTCAGTGTCCTCCACCCCTCTCTGCCAATCCCTCCACTGACCTCCTCTCAGTGTCCTCCATCCCTCTCTGCCAATCCCTCCACTGACCTCCATTCAGTGTCCTCCACCCCCTCTCTGCCAATCCCTCCACTGACCTCCTTTCAGTGTCCTCCACCCCTCTCTGACCAATCCCTCCACTGACCTCCATACAGTGTCCTCCACCCCTCTCTGCCAATCCCACCACTGACCTCCATTCAGTGTCCTCCACCCCTCTCTGCCAATCCCTCCACTGACCTCCTCTCAGTGTCCTCCACCCCTCTCTGCCAATCCCTCCACTGACCTCCACTTAGTGTCCTCCAACCCTCTCTGCCAATCTCTCCACTGGTCTCCATTCAGTGACCTCCATCCCTCTCTGCCAATCCCTCCACTGGCTAACCACTCAGTGTCCTCCATCGCTCTCTGCCAAACCCCTCCACTGACCTCCTTTCAGTGTCCTCCATCCCCTCTCTGCCAATCCCTCCACTGACCTCCTTTCAGTGTCCTCCATCCCTCTCTGCCAATCCCTCCGCTGGTCTCCATTCAGTGTCCTCAACCCCTGTCTATGTTAACCCTTTCCCTGCTAGACTACCTGGCAAACCCCAGACCTGTAGGCAACCTGCCTACAAGCTGGAGCCATACTTCCACCGACATGTAAAAGAGCTGATTTGTCTAATGTAGAAGAAAGCCTGGAATCAGGGGCGGACTGACCATTTAAACACTGGGGCACTGCCCGAGGGCCCGGGGTCAGTAGGGGGCCCCATGAGATGCCCCTGGTACCTTTTTCATAGGCTTTTTTGAGTTTGGGCAAGGATACAGGGGCCCCATGATCCCCTATTGCCCGGGGGCCCCATGAGTTGTCAGTCCGCCCCTGCCTGGAATGTATAACTGAATGAAGGTTTTGGCTTTAGTCCTATGATTAAAAAAAATAAAAAAAAAAGATACAGTCAAGATAACACAAGGAGCACAGAATATAATAGAAAAGTCACTTTAATAGTTTATCTTTTTTTGCATGTATTTTGGACCCTAATAAGCCCTTATTGAAGATAGTCCTGCTTGTGGGTCCTTGGTGTGTGGGGTCCATGGTACTCTAGGGTTCCTCAAGAGTGAGTGGTGAGGTTTCCACGGACATCCAGAGCACTGAGGTCGTCGTGGTGTCGGTGATCGGTGTCAGGCTCCCACTTCCCGGCGGAACAGGCTGACAATGAGAGATGCAGACAGTACACCCAGAGAGGCCGTCACAATGGTCCCCGGGGACAGAGGCTCCGTGTTCTTCTCCAGCCACTTGTACTCCTCATGGCGGCCCTGTCTCTGCAGCTCCGGCAGCATGATCTGTCTGATCTTTTTGTAGTGTTGGTCTACATGCTTGAGCTATTGAAACAGATACACAGACACAATAAATGAATTAAAAATCGATGAGACTGCCATTCACCATACCTGATGCAGGATATCCATTCATCATATACACAGATATAATAAATAAATTATTCAATGAACCTGCCACTCACCATAGCTGGTATAGGATATCAGTTCATCCTGTAGATCAGCCTTTCTCAACCAGGGTGCCCAGTCACCCTGGGGTGCCTTGAGGTTTCTTCAGAGGTGCCTTGGCAAAATGTCTACAAATTGGCCAAAACTTGTATACAAGCCTGCCTTTTAGTTACACAGAGCCCCAGGCTTTCATTGTGCACCCTTACCACCTTCTAGCTGCCGGCTTCCTGACAACCAATGACATCATCAGTTGATAAGGAGGATGTCAGCTGCCTGCACCGCATCCTAGTTGGACCCTCCAAAAAGTGTACTTGCTTTGGAAGAATAAATCACCTGTAATGTTGGGTGTCGTACATGTGTGGATGTTGCTAACTTAAAACCTTTCACATTTAGAATGGGGTGCCTTAAGACCAGGGGCGGACTGACAACTCATGGGCCCCCCCGGGCAATAGGGGATCATGGGGCCCCTGTGTCCTTGCCCCAAACTCAAAAATCCTATGAAAAAGGTACCAGGGGCATCTCATGGGGCCCCCTACTGACCCCGGGCCCTCAGGCACTGCCCGAGTTTCCAAATGGTCAGTCCGCCCCTGCTTAAGACTGTCCATGATTTTAAAGGGTACCTCAAGACTGTTCATACTATTAAAGAGTGCCTCAAGACAGTTCATAATTTTAAAGGGTGCCTCAAGACTGTCCATAATTTTAAAGGGTGCCTCAAGACTGTCCATAATTTTAAAGGGTGCCTCAAGACAGTTCATAATTTTAAAGGGTGCCTCAAGACAGTTCATAATTTTAAAGGGTGCCTCAAGACAGTTCATAATTTTAAAGGGTGCCTCAAGACAGTTCATAATTTTAAAGGGTGCCTCAAGACAGTCCATGATTTTAAAGGGTACCTCAAGACTGTCCATAATTTTAAAGGGTGCTTCAAGACAGTTCATAATTTTATTTTAAAGGGTGCCTCAAGACTGTCCATAATTTTAAAGGGTGCCTCAAGACTGTCCATAATTTTAAAGGGTGCCTCAAGACTGTCCATAATTTTAAAGGGTGCCTCAAGACTGTCCATAATTTTAAAGGGTGGGTGCCTCAGGACAGTTCATAATTTTAAAGGGTGCCTCAGGACAGTTCATAATTTTAAAGGGTGCCTCCTCATAATTTAAAGGGGACAAGAGTTCATAATATTAAAGGGTGCCTCAAGAGTTCATAATATTAAAGGGTTCAATAATTTTAAAGGGTGCCTCAAGGTTCATAATTTTAAAGGTGCCTCAAGACAGTTCATAATTTTAAAAGACTGTTCATAATATTAAAGGGTGCCTCAAGACAGTTCATAATATTAAAGGGTGCCTCAAGACTGTCCATACTTTTAAAGGGTGCCTCAAGACAGTTCATAATTTTAAAGGGTGCCTCAGGACTGTTCATAATTTTAAAGGGTGCCTCGGGACTGTCCATAAATTTAAAAGGTGCCTCAGGACTGTTCATAATTTTAAAGGATGCCTTGGGACTATCCATAATTTTTGAGGGTGCCTTGAGTGAAAAAAGGTTGAGAAACACTGCTGTAGAGAATAGTCCATGAAAATGGTCCACACCACCGTAGCTGCTCTTAAAAAATCTTCATTTATTGAAAGACTCCACGTTTTACGCCTTTCATCCTACATAGCTTTAGTTATGACTCAAGCCGTATAGGCTGAAACACGTCAACTTTTTTGTATCGTGATTTGTACGCGGTGGATTTTTCAATGAATGAAAATTTTTAAGAGTGGCTACGGTGTTGTGGACCATTTTCGTGGACTATTCTCTACAGCTGTGCAAACTCTTTTACTGCGGGTCTATGGAATGGATGGGTAGTAGCATTGTACGCTTTATTATAAGTAGCAGTTCACCCCATACTGGATATAAAATAATGGAACTAATATGATACTTGTTTGGAGGAGAAATTCTAATCTCAAAACAAAAAACTCCTTTAGCTTGTAATGACAGAACTGTTAGAACTTTAACTTACTTTTAATATCCAAATAAGATCATCTTCTGAACCAGAAGTCCCCAAACTACGACCCGCGAGCCACATCCAGCCTGCTACAAGATTGTATCCGGCCTGCAGTAACTGTCCATGAAAATACCTCAGCTAGCTGTCAGTGGATGTGCTGGTCCGTGTGTTGTATTAGGGAGACTGGCGCATCCACTGTCAGCAAGTCAGCCATGACCTCCTCCCCCAGTCCATCTGATGGGCACTCCTGGATCTAGAGGGGACTCTGATGGGTACTCCTGGATGTAAGGGTGGACTCTAGATCCAGGAGTGCCCATCAGAGTCCCCCTTACATCTAGGAGTGCACTTCAGAGTCCCCCTTTACCCCATCAGAATCCCCCTTACATCCAAGAGTTCCATCAGAATCCCCCTTACATCCAGAGAGTTCCCATCAGAATCCCCCTTACATCCTTCAGTGTCCATCAGAATCCCTGTATGGTAGAGGGATTACATCCTGTATGGTAGAGGGGATGGGACTCCATCAGAATTCCCCCTACCATAGAGGGAGATACTCCAATCAGAATCCCCCTTAGGGATTCCATGGGGACTCCCTGTATGGTAGAGGGAATGATCCCCCTACCTGTACATGGTAGAGGGATTCTGATGGGGACTCCATGGTCAGGGATTCTGATGGGGACCCTGTATGGTAGAGGGATCTGATGGGGACTCCCTGTATGGTAGAGGGATTTGATGGGGACTCCTGTATGGTAGAGGGATTCCATGGGGACTCCTGTATGGTAGAGGGATTCTATGGGGATCCTGTATGGTACCAATTCTCATGGGGTCTCCTGTATGGTAGATTCTGAGGGTACCTGTATGGTAGAGGGACTCTGATGGGACTCCTGTATGGTAAGGGGGACTCTGTAGTAGAGGGATTCTGATGACTCCTGTATCAGAGTCCCCCTGTACATGGTAGATTTCTGAGTGACCCATCAGGGAGTCCCCTGTACATCTGTATGGAGAGGCACTTCTGATGGGGATACTCCTGTATGGTAGAGGGATTCTGATGGGGAATCCTGTTTAAGAGGAGTGCCCATCAGAATCCCCCCTGATGCACTCCAGGATTCTGATGTCCATCAGAGAGGGATTCTGATGGGACCCTGGTAGAGGGACATCCTAGAGGGGATGGGGTCCCCATCAGCGGGATTCTGATGGGGACCCTGTATGGTACCATTCTGATGGGTACTCCTGTATGGTAGAGGGATTCTGATGGGGACTCCTGTATTAGAGGGATCATGGGGACTCCTGTATGGTCAGAGGGATTCTGATCCCCCTACCATAGAGGATTCTGATGGGGACTCCTGTATCAGAGGGATTCTGATGGGGACCCTGTATGGTATTCTGATGGGGACTCCTGTATGGTAGAGGGATTCTGATGGGGACCCTGTATGGTAGAGGGATTCTGATGGGGACTCCTGTATGGTAGAGGGATTCTGAGGAGTCCCCATCAGAGTCCCTGTAGAT